GTTTCTCTCCACCCGCCGGGAGCCAGGGGGAGGGGCACTCGGGTCCCGCCGGGCTGGGGCTTGTATCTTACCCCCTTCACAAGGCGCTGGGTTCTTGCAGGTGTGGATGTGGTCTGGATGTTGTCCTGTGTCCTGTGGTCTCTATTTTAGGAAGATTTTTCTTTGTTATATTTTCATAGCTCTATGTGTTTTTGGGAGGAGATTTCCACTGCTCTACTCACGCCGCCATCTTGGCTCCGCCCCCCTGAAATTTTATTAACATGCTCTAGCAATTACAGAGAGAAATATTAACATTTTCAACTATCAGTTTTGCTTTTTGTATCTTGAATCTCTGTTATTAGGTGCAGCACATGTTGGGTTACTATGTCTTCTTGATGAACTAACCCTGTTTTTTATGTAATATTTCTCTTTATCTCTGGTAATAGTCTTTCTTTTGAAGTTTACTTAGTCTAGTATTAATATAGCCACTCTTGCTTTCTTTTGATTAGTGTTTGTATGGTGTATCTTTCTCTATTCTTTTACTTATACCTATGACTTTATATTAGAAGTGGGTTTCTTGTGGGCAATATGTATTTTGATCTTACTGTTTAATCCAACTTGACAATTTATGATTCTTAATTGGGGTGTTTAGACCATTTACATTTAATATAATTATTGATGTGGTTGGTTAAATCTTGCTATTTGTTGTCTATTTTTCTTATTTATTATATTGTTTTTTTTCTATTTTCTTGACCTTTTTTGGATTGAGTAGTTTTTTATTATTCAATTTTATTTCCACTATTGATTTATTACTTATTCCTCATTTTTAAGAACTTCTAATGGTCTGTAGGGTAGAAGTCAGCAAACACCTATTATTTTTACTTTATTTTAATCCATGCCCAATGGCTTGTTTTTTTATAAATAAACTTTTTTTTTAACACAGCTATGCCCATTCATTTGCATATTGTCAATGACTGTTTTTGCACTACAGTGACAGACTTGAGTGGTTGTGACAAAGGCCATAAGCCTGAAATATTTACTGTTTGGCCCTTTAAGAAAAAGTTTACTGACTCTTGCTCTACGTTATATAATGGTACACCCTTAATTTTAGGTCTCCTTTGAAATTATGTACCACTTCATATATAATATAAGAACCTGATACCAATATACTTCCATTTCCTCCCTCAAATCTTTTGTGCTATTGTCATATATTTTACTTCCACATATAAAATCCACAATGCATTTTTACTTTGCACTGTCAGTCATCTTTTAAAGAGATTAAAAATCAGGGGAAAATGACATTTTATAGTTAGGAGAGTTTATTTTCTCTCACCCGGTGTTATTATATCTATGTTTTGTATCTGTTGCATAGTCCTGGGGCCAAGATAATGCTGACATCTTTTGCTTCTACCCTTTCTTCAGCCTTTGCCTAAGATTGGTGCTGTGAGGGTTTCCTCCCCTCTCCTAGAGGCAAGGCTGTTGCAGGCCACTGTTGGTAGGAGTGGAGTTACCTATTCTTCTCCCTAGGGCAGGCGGCTTTTGCTTCTGTCCCTCCTTGGGAACCGGTGGATTTTTGCCCAGACCTTGTGATGGGAGAATTTCCTGCTCTTCCCCCATTGCCTTAAGGCTTTTGTTTTGTGAGAGAGAATAGAGAGCATTTAATACCTATGTTCACTGATGGCCCTTTTAGGTCTCCTGTACTGTCCCCAGTCTTTCTTTTGAGCATATGATAGAGGCACATGGAAAGAAACTTGGTATTAAGTATGGACCCTTCTGTCTTTTGGGACCCTGGAGATTCTAAACTATCTTGGTAGACATGTTAGTGTAAGATAAATTCCAATAAATTCTAGCCAAAATAAGCAGGCAAAGAGAGGCAACAAAGGGCCAGGTAGTTTATTTGAATGCAATTCCCGGGTGATGTTCGCCGGTCTGGGTATTATAGGCTGGGGAAGTCACACCCAGTCAGGGAGGTGGGGGCTTATAAGGGGTTAGGAGGGGGAGGAGTGGGAAGCTATCCTAGGGGGCATGGAGAGGTATGATTGGCTAAAGGTGACATAATAGACAACTAGAAACTTTTTTTCCTGCCAAGAGGGAGGAGGCTGACATCCAGGTCTTAGTTGGCACATCAGAAGGATGGAATTCAGGAAGAGCTTTCCCCTTTCCATATAAGGCACGGACCTTGGGGTCTGGTCTGTTCTCCCCCTATGGCATCTCTCTGTTCTGTTTGCATGTCCTTGTTTTTCCTCTCTCCAGCCTAACAGTTAGCCTTTAGAATTCTTAAAAATTTTAGCTGTTTCATTCTAATTTCTTTTAATGTTAGTTACCTCTTCCTTTTATGCTCTACTAAAGGTGGAACAATTAGTTTTTTCTCTCCTTAATGAGAATTAGAATTCAATTCTTTGTAACCTCAACTCTTTGAAGAATTCAAGAAAAGTTACCATTTTATAGATTTTTTTACTGTTTTCTCCTTATTCAGGTGGAAGCACTGTTGTCTTTTTACATCCTAAGCAGAAGTAGAACTACAGTTCTTAAATTTTAATGTAATCGTTAATTGGAATTTTCTTTTACAGCTTATGTCTTATTTAAAAACTCCCTTTTTTACTCTGAGATCTTAAAAATGGAGCTCTATATTAAGTTGCAAACATTTTATGATTTGTTTTTCACATTTTGTTAATTAATTACCAGGAATTAATTTTTATTAATGTTATGTGAGATGGAGTTCCTTAATTTTTTCCATATATACACTGTCATTTATTGATGATAGTTGTGTACACTCTTAAAATTGCCAAATTGCACAATTGCACTTTAGTCATGCATGAGAGTGCAAAATCCACCAGTTATCTCCTGTTCTTACCCATGGGTCTGTGCTACACATCTCTACATTTTTGACATACCTCAACTTTAACATGTTTAATACTTGACTCCACTGTTGCCCCCAAGCCAGTATATTTTCTTGACTTCTTTCTTCAGTTTCATCATTCTTCCAGTTGTTCAGGTTTTAAGCTTTGGAATTTTGCATTGTAGAATAACATTCTTAGGGTAAAGGAACCTTAAAAACATCTTGACTACCTTCTTTATAATCTCCTTTCTAATCAATCCTCGAGAGTGATGTCAGCAACATTATTCTTGTTACAAGTTGGGTTCTTTATCTCCCTGCTTAAAGACCTTTGAAATACTCATCGATTACTACTTAAAGACCAATTCCTTAAAATGGTATAGAAAGCCCTTCATACTCTGACTTCAAACCCACAGTTGTGATGGTTTGGCCAGGCAGATTGTTTATTGCCTAACTCCAGAAGATTTCCTTCACGTTGATCATGCTATGAGTGGAGTGCTTAATGTGGTGGCTGGTTCAATAATTTTTTGCTATTATCAATAATAGTACTGTTATTATTATAGTTCAGGGGTAGGAAGGGGAGAAGAAAGTACCATGAGGTACAATTGGACAGATAGGTAGGGACTTGAACTTCAAGGAACACTGCTTGCAAAGCTAAGGAGTTTTATAGGCAATGGGAAGCCATCTGACGTTTTTAGCATGATTGGAGTTCAGTTCTAGAAAAACAACTTAGGTGACAAAATGGAGAATAGACTGAGGTATAATAAAGACCTGAATTAACAAATGCAGTGAAATGGAAATCAGAACCTAAAGTCAAGAGAATTCTAAAGACTGGGTACTGTACTGGGGGCTTTACAAGCATTATGCCATTTTAGAGATAAGGAAACTGAAGTTAGAGAAATAACTTACCAGAAGTCACACATACTGTGACAATGCCAGTACTGGAACTGTTGTGTGTTCGACTAAAGCCTGAGCTTTATAACACTGTGTGGAGTTACACTGAACTTCTGACTATTGCCAAAAATGCTGCACATATTAGTACTCTGCCTTGCAAATGCCATTTTCTTTGCTTAAATTCCTCTTACTCTCTTCTTGGCCAGGCAAATATCTCAAAATTCAAAACAGTTTCATAGCCATCACTCCCTTTCTGTGAATCTATAACATTTTATACATATATTTAGTATAGCTCTCAAAACAGTGTATTATGATTTTTTTAACAATAAAGAGGCCTGCATTGTTTTTGTCATTACATTGCATAGGTATTGAATGGTACAGTGCATAATGCTCTAAACTGTTACTAGGAATAAAAGATACATGTCCTCTATTCCTGTCAAAGTGTAACTCAGAATCTACTGAGTTGTTCTATTGTTTCTTTATGTGTGTGTTTTGGGTGGGGGGTGGGGGAGGGGTGGGGGGTGGGTAGGCAGTGGTATTTACTATTAGCTTTTAAATGGCTGGTATATCCATTTTTTGGTAATTTTGCATTATATATCTTTTAGAAAATCTCTGTTTGTTGTCCTTAAGTGAAAGCTAGGAAATAAATGGTAGCAGCCAGACTAAAATTAAACCAATATGGGCTTCAGGTTGCAAAATATTGTCACAACCTTTATAAAATGACTTTTCAAATATGAATATGACTCATTGATTTTTTTTCCTAAAATTAGAAAAAAATGATTTCTCCATGGGGAAAAAAATCTGCATTAACATGGCCACATTCATGGATCTTCTGTTCATATAGATCATATAGAATGTTAGTGCTAATGTTTTAGATAGATTGTATAATTTTCCTAGATGGAGAAATTCTGTTATAATGATGGGAGATTTTATAAATAGAAATTTATATGAAATAACAAATGGTATTATATGCTCTGCATTGACTACCAGCATTTTCCTGAGTAGTCCTCAGAATACTATTTCAAAAGATGCTTTTGGCAGCTTTCTGTAGACAATTTTGAATCAACGCTACTCTTACAGATTCACATTGTCATAGCAACAGAGAAATCTTGCAGTGGGATGTGTGGGGGGGTAAGTAGGGGGTTGTATTCATGTTAGGGTTGCTTAATCCAACTTACCCAAACTGAATTGACCAAAGAATTCTCCTTTTACATAAACTAATGTTTTGTGAAATTCACTTTGGAAATTTTTGTCTTATGTCAGGTATAGTGAAATTCATGGAGATTCTGAAACATAGGGCAAGATTATAATGTGTCCTTATAAAAACAAAATTTCACTTTAGTATATTCTTAATGTTATGAACTTTATTTGCCATGGATGAACGTCAACTGGGATGAACAGCTGGGAGAAAGCCCACTCCAAAAGACTCCAAAAGAAAACATGACTGGAAAAAATGAAATTGGAAATTCTGAATTGACAGGATCATCAGAAGATTCAAATAATAGTTATTTTAGCAGCAAAAAAAGGTAATTAGATGTTGATTACCTTGTTATAATCTAAATTATAAGTAAAAGAGTGAGATATCCCTGTACTGTTATAAGGATTTTTAATTAGAAAAAAGATATGAGAGACATTAGTGACATTTTAATTTAAAATTACCTTGGATCATTATTGTTATATACTAATATTCCTTTCCAATAAAATCAGGGATAATTTACTGCTTAAATTTATTTCTATTGTAGTCATTTTGTCATCAGAGGCAACCTAATGACAGAAAAATTTCTGTCTTCATTTTGCCTTTCTTAGAACTAATTTTTCTGTGTCTCTTAGATTCTTGGTTCTGAGCAAACTGCTCAGTATGCTTGAGTTTCACATTGAATAATTTTACTCAAAATTGTAGGATTAAGCAATAGTTTTGCATATAGTCTTTTGAAAATAAGGTGAGGGATTTTATGAACAAAAGAACTACAAACAAAATATGTTTTGAAATTTCAAGTTATTGTACCTTATATAGACATTAGACTGTGATTTGAATCTAGCTATAATATAATGAAATATGCTTTTATTACTCACACTAAATGTAGTTTATGTTGATCATTAATGAGTTTGAAAGATAATATGATAATTGTCTCTGGCTGACTTTAAAAATGTTGATGCTGTATTTGTGTTTACAGAATATTAAATAAAATATATGAAATATGAAAGGTAATATTCATGGAATAATTTTTTAATATGACTTTCAAATCTATCATTCCCTTTAAGTCATTTTCTTTGGGAAAATGAAGATGACAGAGTTAATATTAGAAAAAAGGAGAATCAGGGATGATTTAAAAATTTTAATTTAAGTGTGGCATTGCAACATAATATTTGTACTGAAATTGAAATGAAATGGCAGATTAAAATGTCCATGTTTTGTAACCTTAGAGGGTAGAGGGTGGGAGATAAGCTTCAAGAAAATTCAGGGCCCTGCCATTTCAGTGAGATTTCTGGGGGTTTCATGTCCTGGGACATATTGAGTATACCCTTTAAGGTTAAAGCCAGATTTTTGTATTTTGCCCCAGCTACTATTGAAAATGAGTCCCTTGATGGACCTCTTTGGAGTTTAGGGAGAGACTTACTGTATTTGGATGTGCCTGTCCAATCCTTTTTTTTTTTAATCAAATAATCTAAAAGACTGACAACACTGAGTGGGCCCAGAGCAAGAGAAAGCTCACAGTGTGGTCCAAGAGGGCCACAACAGTGTTGTCACTTGAGTTTATGTGTCCCACTGACCCAGGACTGCTGATGGGTGCTGGAGTGGAACGCTGAATGGAGTCTACGACAGACCGGTAGGAGAGTCACAGCTTGGAACCTATGTGTTTTGGAGCGAAGGCATGCAATATTCAGCAGATAATTGTTCCATTTTTGCTGGATATTAATAACGTGCTATCTGCACGCTTTAAAATTTTTGACAGTCTGGTGAATGCTTAATGCTGTTTCACTGTCGTTTGAATTTTAATTTCCCAGATCACCTGTAAAGTTGATCATGTTTATACATTTTATGGACGCCATTTTCATAACTTTTTGGGGGAAAATACCTTTCCAACTATTTTTATTGGGTTATTTGCCAAATATTTCTCATTATTGTGAGTTTTTAATATACTCTACAGATCATCCTTTGATGCTTTTGTATGTTGCAGATATCTTCCCCTCCTCGCTGCCTCATCTGTAGTCTACCTTGCTGAATACCTTAACTATTCCACATCCTTATTTTTTCTCTACATCCTCTATGTCTAGGACTGAGAAGGGCATACTAAAATCTCCTGTTACTGTGTGTACTGTTTATCCTTTTATCTCCTGTGGTTTCTAATTGTTTTAGATATCTATGTGCTATTTGGTACAAAGTTGTTCTTAAGTGAATATTAATATTGTAACTTTTACATTATGAAGTGTCCTTCTTTGACTCATTTAATGCTTTTTTTTGGCTTGAATTCTCCCTTGTTACATATCAAAATATTAACCTCTGCTTTCTTTTTGTTTTCATTTATTTGGTATACTCCTGCCTTCTTCCCCCACTTTTATCCGGCCTTTGGGAATTACTTTGTTTTATGTATGCCTTTCACATACAGCTTAGACTTGGGTTTTGCTTTGTGAGCCAGTCTGAATCTTCTTCATTTAGTAGATGAGTTTTGCCCATTTACATTATTGATAGGACTGATATGTTTGAGCTCATATTTGTCCTTTTATGTTATAGTTACTATGTGGTTTATCATGATATTTATGAAGAATGTATTTCTGTTCTGCTGTTTACCTTTATATTAATACATTTATGCTAGTATTCTTAGTCCTCCTTTTTCCTTTCTAAAAATGTATGCCTCTGTTTTTCAATTTTTTACCTCTAAAATTATCCTCTGATGCTTACCTGTTATAATCAGGACAATAAAAAATCACCTTTTTGCCTCCTTTCTCCTCTCATGTATTTTTAGTTGTTATTTCTACTTTGCCAAAGAATATAACATTTGCATTATATGCAAAATATGTTATGCTTTTACCCTCATCCCCTTCATCTTTGTTTTAATCTCAGACCTATAATTTAATATGTTCAACACTTTTTGCCAATTCTTTTGCAGGAGATTTTTAAAATATCTCTTAGTTGGATTGAGCTCAACTGATACAAAAAGCTCCTAGGTACAATATTCCCTTACTTCTTCCATATTTAAAACTTGTCCAGGGCAAGGGTAGACAAACTAGGCCTGTTTTGTAAGGCTTGGGACTAGAATGATTTTTTACATTTTTAAAAAGTTAAAGAAAGAATTATGACAGAGACCAGATGTGGCCTCCAAAGCCTAAATTATTTACTCTCTGGCCCTTTACAGAAAAAAATGACTAATTCCTGCTTTAGTGCCTTGATACATGAAAGACAGCTTGATTTGCTGTAACTGCTTGGTTTATACCTTTTTGCCACTGAGTTTCTTCACGTGTTGCTGTACTGGTGTCTTGTTTTATATGTTCCCATTAGAAACTATGATGCAAACCCAATTTTCTTTTCCTCATAAACTGACTTGGCTATTTTTGTCTGGAAGGCCAGAGGATTTCTTTGATGTGTAATAGCTTTTACTAGGCTATATCTCAGTTGAGAATTCTAGGTCAGGTTTTTCTGAGTATAAGATGGGCCTTTTCAGTATGACAGTCAGGACCTCTTTTATTTCAAGAATGTTTTCTAAAATTATAATTTAAATAGCAGATCCATTCCATTGTTTTGTTTTTCTTTTTCAGGGACCAACAATTAGTCTCACCTTAGATCTTCCTTACCTCTTATATCTATTATTTTCTCTCTGATCTAGTTTACTATTTTCCTTATGTTTCATTTCTCTGCTTCTTTTATGTCATTCTCCATTATCCTTTCTGAATTTCGGTCACAGCTGTTCCTTCCTGGATACCTGCTAATTTACTAATTTCTAAGACAATTTTGTTTTTTCTTTAATTTCTTTTTTCAGTTTGGCCAATTTCCATTTCGCATCTTCTTGTTTTTCCATTTTTATTCTGTGCTGTAAAATTTCTGATTTATGGTGCCTGTTAACATCTGCAAATTCTTGCTTAATTATATTTAATCTATGTTGGGACTATTGTTAAATGTTTCTTTTCTTAATGAATGCATGTTTTGGGTTTGTCTTAGTGGTCAATTTGAGGGTTTTTAGAAAGTAACTTTGTAATGGATGCTAGAGTGTTTTATAGATGCTGTCCACGCTTACTTGTGTTGGATTCTTGTGTGTCAGTAGCAACAGGTGTTCCTACAGATGAATAGGGTGTTTTAGTGGTTTATTTTGCTTCTTAAACCAGGAGCACCCTCTTCTGTTGGTATAGTGAAATGCAGTTGTTTATTTAATTTTAAATAAATAGTCTTTTGGAGAAGGGGTTCTATTTTTTTTTACTAATTTAATTTGTCAGAGCCCATAACTTGGCCACTTTCTTCTTTTATCAAGCAGCACTGAAGGAGCACCTCTCACTTCTAAAAGCATTTTCCTCTCTCCCAGAAGCTTTATCTTCCCATAATTACCACCTCTGGCCCCCTGTATTTTACAAGCCCCTCTCTTTTGGATTCCTCATAGAAGGTTCTCTGATGTACCAGATCTTATCCTTACTCTCAGCATATTTCTCCACTGCAGGCAGGATCCTCTCCTTACAGTCTGACTCTCCCTTCTCCTTTGGTTGATGTTTACTGTGTTATCTGTGTACAGTGCTTTCTAATGCATAGTCCACATCGACTCTGCTCCAACATGGTTCCTGAGAGATACTGCTGCTCTAGGGTGTTTATTTTCTCACTTACACGTAAGTGAAAGTATGTGTAAATTAAAGGATTTATTTACTTTCCTTTTATCGTTGGGAGGATGTGTGAAAGATTCTTAATTTAGGTGTTACCATTATCCTGTGAGAACCTGACCTTATCAGTTAAAATGAAATGAAATGAAATAATAAAAAAACAGAATAATAATAATAAAATAAAAAAATTAGGAGTAAGAGCTTAATGAAGACAAAAATGAAGTAAAAAACCTAGCAGAATTGAAAACATTTAAGATCTATAAAGTGGTAGTGGGAGAAACATTAACAATGGTAAATCTTAAGATATTTTATCAAAAAACAATAGAAACATCAAAAAATTAGGAAAGATGAAGGTAATATAACACAAATACAGAGAAGATAAAATATATGACAATAAAGTATATACTAAAATTAGAAAATGTGATCTAATTTTCAATTTTCTAAGTAAATATAAATTATCACAGTTGGCTCAGGACAAAAAAAATCAGAAGCCGTCTTAGAAAAATTTTTAAATTATCATAACAAGTAACAGTTGAGAAATCTTGAAAGGAAATACTGTTTAGAAAGGAATAACGGATTTTTTAAAAATGTTAAGTTTTAAATGCCTATATATAATGTCCAAGTAGTAGTGAAATGGGGAAGCTATAGCACAAGAAAGAATTTGTAATTATAAATACAGATTTGGGAGTTCATCACCATGTAAGTGAAAAACTGCATTGCTATTGTGCCTTATCAGATGCTTAAAGACAGGTGAGCATTTTGAGCATTTTGTAGATGTTGTCCATGCTTGGTAGAGTCTCTCTACCAGACCTTACTGACTGTCATGCTTGCTTACAGGTTGGTAAAAAAGAATCCATCACCCTACCAGATCTCATTGATTTTCCTTCACGTCCTTGTCAACCTACTCCTACTCCAGGACTAACTAGTATCTCTTTATTACGGATTGAGAGTAAGTATGATGGCACTATAAGTACAGATGATTCTATGAAGTGAGGTTTAATAACATTAATGGGGAGTTATTATTTAATGGATATGAAGTTTCAGTTAGGGAGATAACAAAAGATCTGGAGATGGATGGTGGTCATACTTGCACAACATTGTAAGGGTATATAATGCCTTTGAACTGTATGTTTAAAAATGGTTAAAGTGGTAAATTTTATTATGTATATTTTACCACAAAAGTTAAAGTACATGAAATTTATATTGATTACTGCATATATTTAATCACTAATCCTATTTATTATAAAAATACACCATTAACCCTTGAGCAATGTGGGGGTTAAGGGTGCCAGCCCTCCACATGCTGCACAATAAAAAATCCACATATAACTTTGACTCCCTAAAACTCGATTACTAATGGCCTACTGTTGACTGGAAGCCTTAACAATAACATCAACAGTTGATGAACACATATTTTGTATGTTATATGTATTATACACTATATTCTTACAATAAAGTAAGGTAGAGAAAAGAAAATGCTTTTCAAATTGTTGCATATCTACAAACATTTTTCCAAGATATTTATTGGAAAAAATCAGTGTATAAGTAAACTCCTGCAGTTCAAACCCACGTTGCTTAAGAGTCAACTGCACTCTAAAATATACTTTTTTGATGTAATATTTAAGTACAATAACTTAAGCCCAAGATAAATTTACCAAAAGAATTAAACCAAGAAGTATAACTACTTGAGCTTTACTTAGTTTCTACACATATATGTAAATGCAGAAGAGACATACTGTGTTCTTTACATATACATAAATCTCCTTATACATCACTCTTGGCAACTGAAATGACTTTTTAGGGTTTCCCATAGCAGCAGATGCTATACTATAGCAAAAAACCCCAGAGTTTTGGGTAAAATCTACTCTTGCTGTTTTAACCACCTTTAAGTTTTATACTCTATATTTTAGGATATGAATAATTTTTTAGCTTTTAGACATTGAAGAGTATGGATTATGATCTTTTAGGAGAGAAGATTGTTGAACAAATGAAACAAGTGAAGGAAGAAAGAAGATACCTGGAAAGAATTAGAGAAGAACTAATAAATTTGAAAAGCTATTTGAACAAAGTAAATTGAAGCAATATCATGGTAAAACTTTTTACATATCTTTTACCACTATAAAGAAAACTTAAGTTTTACATAATCTATGCTTTTGGAATAAATAATAAAATTATAGCCAATATTTACTGTTTTACTGTTATGTTTAAAGTAGTACACAGTATTGATACAAGTTCAGTATAGAAAACATGAAATTGTTCAACTCTTTATTTTGTACAATAAATGCAACCTGTTTTATATAGGAGTTTTAAAATTCAAATTCAAATACTTTTTATAACTGATATTCATTTCTTTGTTTATTCATTCTTCCATTTATTTTTTACGTATTTATTAAGTGACTACTGAATTTATCCACTGTTCTAGGGGCTGAAGAGATACTAATAGGCAGGTCCAATCTTGTCCCTACCCTCAAGGAGCTTACAGTCCACTAGAAAAATGAAAATCAAGTTAAGCAGTAATGATACATCCTGATGAATGCTATAATATAGGAATTACAGAGTTGTGTGCATAGGAGTACATCTAAATTAGGTGGAAGAGATTTAAAAAGGCTTCCAGGAAAAGTGTTAGATATGCCAGAATCTGAAGTGTACCTCTTCTTGAGTACAGGCCTTCAGGCCTGAATTTTCCTTTGCCATCTACATCTTCTTTTCCTATCTTCTATCCTCTTCTTCCCAGTTCCCCTGGCTACTTCCTCCTAGTCATTCAATCTTAGCTTATGTATTACTTACTCTAGAAGTCTTCAGTTTCCTAACCTCTCCTAGGTGCTTACTTTTTTGGTATGTGTGCCTGTCTGCTTTGCTAAACTGAAATTTGCTAAAAGAGAAATCAGGTAGAAAAAGTAGGTTGTTTTCTTAGAATAGAATGAGAATGTGTTGTTAAGACTGGTGGAATTGGAAAAATGAGCCAGGGTGGAGATAGTATAGGATAATGGTTTGAGAGATGTTAAATGATTTGAGAGGCCTGCATTTTGGGTTGTATTTGAGGATTGTAAAAGGTATATACAGAATTAACTGGTTTTAAGATTGTCAGTGTAAGTAAAATTATTTCTTCAGTGCTAGAACTGACTGAAGGTTACAGGCAATGTCAGGAGACATTTCTGAAGGTTGTTCCTCATATTAAAGTGTCCTGGAAGTGGCGGCAATGACTCAGCCTTGTACTGCTAAAAGAGCAAGTGTACCAGACAGTTTTGAGTAGTGGACTAGAATCTAGAAATGAACTAGAAACAGGGCCGGGATTCTAAAGCCAGATCAATCTCTTACATAGGCGAGTTATTATTCTCCTCAAGGTGCCTCACTCTTTCTGTTTATAAAATGAAAATGATCAGTCACTTTCTATTTCAACAGGAATGTTTCAAGATAAAAAGCATGTCTAAGCCATCAAATATTTATTGAGCCTACTGTGTGCCTCGGTTCCAAGCATTGTTTTAAATAACGAGGACACAGAAGTAAACAAGACAAACATGGCCTTGCCTTTAGGAACCTTGCTTCTAATGGGAAGAGGCAGACACATAAATAAGTAAGACAGTGTCAGCTACTGCTTAGAGTTAAGAAGTCAGTTTACAAAAGCACAGTAAAGAGTGATGGGGCAAGAGAGAAGCTTTAGCTTGGGTTTTCAAGGAAGACATCTCTGAGGAGTTATCATTAAGATTTCATTAATAAAGAGGCAGACATGTAAAGAGATAGGAGAAAAGCAAACTGAACAGGAAGAGCACTAAAATGTAAAGGTCCAGAAATAGGAATGAGCTTTCAGTATGAGGACTTGAAATCAGGCCGGTGTGACTGGAGTGTGATAATAAGGAGGAGATAAAATCAGAAGATGAGCAAGGAACAGATAGGCCAATTCAAGGAGTTTATACTTTATTTTAAGTAAGGTGGAAGCCATTGGAGGATTTTTATGGTAATGAATTAACATGATTTTAAAAATATTTTAGAAAGATCAGAATGACTGCAGTATGGAAAGCCTGTAGAAGGGCAAGAATGGAAGCAGAGACATCAGTTAGAAAGGTGACAATGGATTGACTAAGGATGTAGTATTGATGGTAGAATGTGCCAGATGCTGAAATGGAATTGGATATACGACATAAGGAATAAATAGTTAAAATCTTGAGTTAAAGTGCCATATAGTTATATAATTTTAATCAAGTCACCTTATAATATAAAATTTAAAAATTGAGGGCCTTCATTTCTTCAATAATCTTAAAAAATAAACATAAGCATATTCTGATCTACTAGCGTGCAGTGTGTGCTCCTGCTAAGTCTGCATCTAGAATCTCACTGGTGTCAAAGTGATTCCCTAAACTGGCAGTGTTTAATTTCTAATTTTCTCAACCAAGGATCTTAGGTTTAAGAAGTTTGAGGATATATTTGGAATAATTTTAATAAATGATGAATCAGAATCAGCTGATTTCACAAAAAATAAGTCATTTTGGGGATTGAAAAAATAAGGAAAAATCCAAAAATATATTTTATGCCTTTTTCTTTCACACTGTTAATTATATAAATAATGAATTCAAATCAAATGGAAAGAAGTAATCAAAATTTTAAAAATACGCATTTTGATACAGGTAGTATTCTTAATAAAGATTTCCCAGAATAATTATAAGCTTAAAGAACTTGGTTGTGGTTCCTGGACTTGCACTATTTTACTATATATGTGTTAGCAAATCCTCTTATTATCCAATTAACATTTCATTCTTAGCTCTTATTTCCTCAGCATATAAGAGAAAAATAGAAGGGAAGGAGTTGGGTTGAAATTAACTCCAGGGTTCTTTCCAGGTTGAAAAGTTGAATCCTATAATCAGACTCAAACTGTAGCCTTTGCTTTTTTTGTATGCTGTGATGGTTAGAAGAAAAAGTACTTTGAAACAAAGAAAGTTATGGCATCTTTGGAGGAGGTTTTAACAAAACTTCAAGAAGATTTGGACCTTTACTATAAAAAACTGCTCATGCAACTTGAAACCAGGGAGATCAGAATGAGACCAAAGAATCTGGCAAATATCACAGACTCTAAGGTACCACTAAATGAGTTCACACTTTATTAGAGAAGTTCTAGTGAAAATATATGCTTTATATTTGTTAATATTATCGTATTTAGGATGTTTTGGGCTAAAGGTAACAAACGTTGACTTAACCTGGCATAAACAATAAGAAGAGTCATGATCTCATACACTGGGTGTGAGGAGATACAATCAGCAGCTTAATGATGTCTTTAAGGATCTAGGTGCTTCTGCTGTTTCCTTCTATTATTTTCAGTGTTGGCTTCATTATAAGACTTCTTTTATATAAAATTGCCTTTCTTCATGGTAGCAATAGAGTTGCCAATGTCAAGTAGGGCTATGTGCCTCCAAAGCGAGAATATATAAAGCTTTTCCTTTAGACTGGTGGGGGATCAACCAGGCCTACCCTGGATTGATGATAGGTACCAGGAAGTTCTATGTACTGACTTACACTAATTAGGGTGTACGTCTATATCTGGGGATAGAGTCACTGTCTCTGATTTTATGGTAAAGAGATGAGCACCTGATGAAGAATGCAGCGTCTAAAAGTGTTCACTACATTCCTTTTTTTTTTTTAGTGGTGGGGGAATATTAACACCCAGAAAATCTAAAGGTATTGATATTTTAAAGAAATTATTAGATATTAAATTTTGATCAGTTCACCTATTTCTTGAGATAGGATTGGATCTTGACAGATAAGAGACATGAAGTTTGTTTTTTAATTAGTTCTACTATATAATTAAACAATAAACAAATTCCAGAGGCCGTTCAATTTTTGTTGGTTGGTCTCATTTATCCAAAAAAGATTTTATAATATGTTAATTATGATTAAGAGTATGGATTTAACTTTAAATGTGATTAAATATTTTTACTATTTTACTTTTTCTTCTTTTACTGAGATAAAATTGACATATAACATTGTCCTAGTTTAAGTGTACAGCAAAATGATTTGATGTATGTCTGTATTGTGAATTGATTACCATGATAAATTTAACATCTATCACCTCAATCGTTACTATTTTTTCTCTTGTGATGAAAGTTTTTAAGATCTATTCTCTTAGCAACTTCCAAATATACAACACAGTATTGTTAACTATAATTACCGTGTTGTTCTTTATACATCCAGGATTTATTTATCTTTAAATGGAAGTTTCTATCTTTTCACCACCTTCACCCATTTCCCCCAGTCCCAAACCCATTGCCTCTGGCAATCTGTTCTCCATATCTATGAGTAAAAGCTTACCATTTTTGATAAATTTAATGTAAAAGTCAAATACACCTAAGTAATAGCATGTCCTTATTAGCTGATACTTATTTTTTAGCATAGTTCATACTTTTTATCTCACTGCTTTATGAAGTTCACTATATGAAAATGTTTTAATCACAAAAGTAGCTTAAAATTTTAAATTTCTTTGTTGACCTCTATACCTCATAGACTTTTTAAAATTAAACATAAAGCCTTCTTATAATAAATAAGTTTTCTTATATTTCATTATTAATAATTATGAATTTAGTTATTAAATATTAAATATTTTAAAGTAATTCTAATCTTATTCAATTAATAAAGCACTATGCCCATTTCTAAAGACTTGATAGTATCTTAAACCTCATATACTCCTTTCATACTAATAGTTGCTGGCTTTTATGGTGCTATTTTAATGGTAAGTTTTATAAATTGTCTATTTTTATAATACATGAATAATGTCAGTAGAACAGAAGGAAAAGTGGTCCCCAAAATGTAAGAAATCAACAGATCAATAGTAATTACTCCAAAGCAGTAAGTTTATTTTATGGAATAGGTTATTTTCATGATTTGCTCTTTTGATATTTGTTATCACTTCATAGTTTATGTTTGTAAGGCAGTGAAAAATAAAAGAGTAATTGTATTAAAAAATAAATCTTTCTATATTTCACACAAAATTACCTTATGATCCAAATTACTGAGGTACAGCATGCGATTAACCAACTTAAGAGAAAATTGGATACTGACAAAATGCAACTCATAATAGAAGTTAAGGTAATTTGCATTTCTCCTAATCAGATTATAACATTTATCTTGAAATAAAATAGTTTGGTGTTTTAACTTTGGGTGTCAATGGCATAAGGGTAGTAAGGATTGACTGCCTTAAAATTGTTATTATAACAACAAAGAGCATGAGTGAAAAAGATACAAGAAACAGCTAAATCCTGTGTAAAGATGCATGTTATAACAAAGCCAAAGTAAAATTGAGTAAAATTTCACTAAGAATTAAGTTAAAGAACAATATGAATCAGTATGGAGTCTCAATAAAAAATTTTTAAAGTAATTTTCATATATATTAGAGTCATTCATCAATTAGTCTGATAAACCACTGAGTTTTCTGAGCTCCCATTTAATTACCTCCCCTCCTTTGGGTAATTATCTCATTCCATCTATTTATTTTCATAAATACATATATAGAATCATATTAAGGCTCTAAATTTACATCTTTATAAGAAATAGCTTTATGATACAAAATAATGACCCCTTGCTAAAGTCACACTGTCCAGTAGAATTTTCTGAGGAGATGGAAATGTTCCATACCTGCACTGTCTGATTTGGTAGCCACTAGCCAGACAAGGATATTGAGCACTTGAAGTGTAGATGTTGTATAACTGAGGAGTTGAATTTTAAATTAATTAGATGTAAATGTGAATAGCTACCTGTGGCAAGTAACTACTGTATGGGATAGTGCACTTCTAGGTTCTTTATATCAGCATTACTCTCAAGGCTAAACCCTGCTCAGCCCTGAGAAGCTTAAAACTTAAAATACAGAAAAGGAAAAGGGCAAAGGACAATTTTAACAAAATATGAGTTATTGAACATTCTATACAGCATGCATTCAAAAAAATAATTTGTTCAATGGATGAAAAGTCTCTGTGTTCAAAAAATTGGAGATAAAGCAAATTTGGAAACTTGTACACTTAAGGATAGTTGGATGGGTAGAAGGAAGGAATAAAAATGCTCCCAGAGCCTTCAGTTATGACTCTATCAATGCTCTTTTCTTCTGGAAAGCACATACGTTAGATCTGAGTATGTTTTTATATTTTAACCTTACAAAGTTCACTTAAGAATAGTTTGAACCCAAATTGGAATTAGTAGTACAAAAACAGGAAAGACAAATAGAAGAAAAAGGACCTAGTTTTCAGCTCACATATTGGGAGGAAAAATCTTACATTTAACCATCATAATGCCTAATTGGCACATAGTAAACATTATAAGTATTCATTACTGATATCTGAATGATTTACCCCAAATTACCTTTAAGATGCAGAACAAAGGGTCAGAAAACCTAGCCTGAGTCTCTGCAACCATATTCAAGATAGTACAGCATAAACAGTGCTTCTTGAAGTTTAATGTAACATCACCTGGGTTCCAATTAAATTAATAGAATCTGACTCAATAGTCTCGGGGGAAGCCTGAGATTCTTCATTCCTATCAAGTTTCCAGGTAATGCTAGTGTTGTACGTCCACAGAATATTGGGAATAGCAAGGTCTGTGGTATCAGATGGTTTGAGTTTGAGTCCTAGCTGTGTCACTTTACTAGTTTTATACCTTGAGCACATTACTTAATTTCTAGACATTTCAGTTTTCTCAGCTATAAAATGGGAAGAAATAACAGTACATGCCTCAACAAACTTTTTGAATGAATCAAAGAGGTAATACACTTAAAAGAGTGCTTGCCACAGAGTAAACACTTATTTATTTCTTAGGTGACTGCTCAGTTTTTAAGGGCTGGAAATTAAGTTTTTTGTAATTTTTGGCTGTTTTTTTACTATTTTATTTACATATTGAGAACAACAGGTTTTGAAGCTTGAGCAAAAGATAAAATTCTTCCTCACTTTAGTGTTTTATAAGTTTAATTTTATTATGTCTAAATATTAATAAGTGAAATTATTTGATGGAGTATCAGTAGGCAAGCATGCTTACTCAACAGGACTTGTGTGACCTTATTTATCACTGTAAATGCAGTGGGAGTGAAAGCAAATGGGAGAAGACAGTTAAAAGCAGTTACAGAAACCCTTATGTATGTAACTGTAATTGCAGAAAGGTAAGCTGAAAGTTCATTTTTGAAAGGTAATTCTTTTTATAGTTGAGAAAAAAAGCAGCTGCAGATTTATGCATATTGAAAGCTGAACTGAAACAGAAGAAAATTAATATATCTTTATCATTTCACTTAGGTATATTAATTTAAAATCTTTATTTGTCAAATTTTAAATATTTGTTTAATCAGATCTGTTTAATCATTGTTCTCCATGGCAGTGTTTTATATAAATCATAGGTTTTATTTATTCTCACTTTTCATGTATTACAAAGTGTTTCAGGAAATATTAAATGTAAAAAACCCCAGATGGTGGCTATTTGGTTATTTTTGAAGGTTTCAAGTCTATTACATATTATTTTACAGTACTATATTTTAAATTTTCATTTTTAAATTGTCTTAAATATGATAGTTAATATTAATATAAAAACGATATATTTTAACAAATATTAATCTATTTGCATGTAAATGTAGACAGTTTAATTTGTTCATTGTATTTCAATTAAAAGCAATCTGGAAATGTAAAAGAAAGGGATTTTGAACTTATATACAAAGCTATGATAGAGATTACCTTCTAAGACTTTAAATTTTTAAAATTTATTTTAGAACTAGAAAGACAATGATAATGCAGCAAATACTATGGTGAATGGTTGGTTTTACCCAGCCATAAATAATGTAACTAGTGTAAGTAAGACAATGAAATAGTCTCATAAAAGATGACTGAATCACCATTTATTCCAATTTGGAGGAGGGCATTGTCCTGGGAAGGCAGGATTTATGTAAGCCCAGAGTTCAAGGATACAGATTTTTAATCTAAGTATTTATAGGAACCAATGTAAGTACAACACAATGTCCTCCTTAATTACCATGAGAAAGAGAATAGAGACTGCTGTACATTTAGAAAAGTTCTTTGTGTAAATTTTCTCTTTTACCAAGGGAAAATAATTGGGAAACCAAAGTCTTTAGATAATTAAAACTAAAATGCAGATACAGTAAAAGGAAAAAAAACATGAAAAGGTTACTAGCCAATAATTAAATTATAGATGTCCATAAATGAAGGAATATTAATAATTGAAAGGGTAGATGACAAGAATAGGATCAGGTTCAAACCAAATTTTTCCTAAAAAATATCAGGAATAGCCTCATAAAAATAATTTAGTTGTAAAATATTAGGTAGCTCTAACCTACTAAGTCAAAATATAACCAAGTTATCTTCTCTTTTTTTTTGTATTTTAATCCTTTTTTCTGTGGAGGCTTAAAAGTGAGTTTAATTCAAGTGTTTCAAAGAGCATGAATACTATAAGGAGTCAGGAAACAGAAAAAGTGTTTGCATCAGTTTGATGAACCTAAAGAGAAGACACTAAATTATAGGTTTTAAATTTGGATTTATTGAACAAAAAGTACAGAGTAAACTGTTTCTCAATGACTGATTTTTAAAAATCTACTCTAAGCAAAGAACTTCCACTTAAAATTATATGTATTTTAAAAATTAGCATTAATTTTATATTTTAATATAATGAAGGAAAAAACTAGCATAATGAAATTCTGAAAGTAATTGCTCCTACTTAGAGTACTAAACATAGAGGAATATTTAATATAGTAAATTGACTTGTTTCTTATCTTTATGTTTCTGCACCCTGAAACTATAAATATGTATTATTTTTCAACTTTAAACAAAGCATTTCTTTATTCTTTATCTGTTTTTAAGTATACAAATGATTATAATATATAGCCAATGTGACAAAAATGTATACATTTTTTATCTCTTCAAGAAACTAGATCTATTTATACAGGTCATTTTTCTAAATCTTAATAGACAGAAGATGTTCATCTCTGTCACAGCTCTGGTTTTAAGGCTTTCCACATTTCTTCAGTTTGCTGTTTGGCTGTAGCATCTTCAGAGTAGTCAAGACAGTTTGCATGCCACATGCCAATGCCGCATAAGCCTCGGTATTGTACATATGCTGCCTTTAAAGAAATGCTGTGAGGATTATCATACCATACTTGATGAAAATGGCCAGCAGGATCCTATGTGAATAAATTAAAATGGAATTTTAAAATACTCAATACCATAAGAAGAAAAGAAATTTCTTAAGTCCAGTGATTCAAAGAGGATACAAAGAAATAATAAAAATTTGGGGCACAGTATTTTCCAGCTCTGTGATTCCATGGTTCTGTGATACTTCCTTAGATATCATTGCTCATGGCACTTTTACAAGTGAACCTCCTAAAATATTCTATTTAAAGCCCTTCTCTTGACGTAAGATTCCTTCCTTGCTCTTACCTGATGATTATCAACCAAGATGTACACCTGTGTCACTTGAGGGGCTTTAAAAAATATATAGATTCCTGGACCCACACCATATGAAACCCACCGAATCAAAATCTTCCCGGGCTGGTGCTACGACATAAATTTATTGGTTTGTCTGTGTTTATATGTTTCATTAGTAAATCTGATAGACAGCAAAGGTTAGGAGAATCACTGCTTTC